CCCGCCCTCTGGCCCAGCACATCAGAAGATCGGGGAGGTCTGGAGCAGAATAAGGCAGCTGCCCAGGTCAAGGGGCTCTTGGCTTCTATCTGCCTGAGTCATGAGGAGTCCAACAGAAAAGAGTCACTTTAGACACAAGAGGCCTTTAGGGGAGAAAGACATTCATTCACATTACAACTGGAATCCCGGCAATGCCTTCGGAGCTACTAGGATCCTGGCATCCCCCTCAAAGGCTGCTGCCTGGGCCCCTAGCGAATAGCCACTGTGCAGACACAGGAACCTGCTGGGACACCTTCAGGATGGAGCATTGCATAAGTGACAGCTCTGAGGGCCACAAGAATGTCAAGGGAAGAGTCCAGGATTCAGAATCTACAGCCTGGGCTCTGGCCTTAGCTCCAGCGCTTAGGCACCTCTCCCCTCTTTGAACCTCAGTGTTAGCCTTTATAAAATGAAGATAATAACTCCTCCTGCCTCCACGTGAGTAGACTGGATAAGCTCAGCATAAAGAGTACAAAAAATCGTTTCTTTAAATGCCGAGTATGAGGCACTCCCTGAGAAAGAGAACACGGCCGTGCTTTTGAGGTCCCCCTTGCCCCTCCCGGTTGGCATCTCTCTCTGGCCCCCTTATGATAGCCCAATCTTTAGAACTTTTTGTTTAGAATTCCCTTGCTTTCACTTTTCAAAAATGCATATACTAGTATATGTACCCCCCAAAAGGACTATTTTCCATGTGATTATGAACCTCTAGACTTTACACCAGTGGATTCAACTGTACATATTCTTGTGCAACGTGCTGTCTTCATTTAAAATCGTGTTGGTGAGATTTGGCCATGGTGACATGGTCACTGCTGTCAGCTTCGCACGTGAGTCTCTTTGCAGAAATGCAAGGGTTTCTCTAGAGCAGGGGTGGGCAAACTTTTTGACTCGAGGGCCACAATGGGTTCTTAAACTGGACCGGAGGGCCGGAACAAAAGCATGGATGGAGTGTTTGTGTGAACTAATATAAATTCAAAGTAAACATCATTACATAAAAGGGTACGGTCTCTTTTTTTTTAGTTTTATTCATTTCAAACGGGCCGGATCCAGCCCGCGGGCCCTAGTTTGCCCACGGCTGCTCTAGAGTGTATCTCCAGGAGTGATATGGTTGAGTTGTAGGAAAAAGCCCTTTACAAAATAGTGCCAAGTTACTAATTATTTTGTAAAAATAAAATAAAATTATATAGAAAAAAAAGTGCCAAATTGTTTTCCAAAGTGGGTATATCAAGTTACTACCCAACAACCCAGCACAGCGCTAAGGCAACCCTGTCAACACTAGGCATTTTCAGGCTTTTGAATTTTTGTCAATTTGGTGGGCGTAAGTGGCTTCTTGTGGTGGCTTCATTTTACATTTCTCTAGTTACTAATGAGATTGAGCATCTTTTCATATGTTTATTGGCCATTTATGTTTTCTGTGAAAGGCCTATTATGCATTTTGCTTCATCTTTCTATTGGTTCTTTGTCCTATTAATTTGGAGACATTCTCCATAGATTCTGGACAGTAGTCCTTTATCAGGAACAGTGATGTAGAGCCTCTCCCAGTTTGATGCTGCTCTTTTCATTTTATTGTTCTGTGGTATCCACTAATGAACACAGGCTCTTATTTTAATGTAGTCAAATTTATGAGCCTTTCTCCCATACATTTGCCCATGTGTGGCTTGTTTAAAAATTCCTTCCCAACCCCAAAATGACTTCCCTACGCTTTACCCAGACTCGATTTATATATTACACAACTGCTGAAAGCCACCATTCTCCACGTTCAGACCATAAGGAATAATATGGGGTAGCCAGTTCATGATGGAGAGCTGCACACAAGTGGTTATGTCCCTGCTTCTCATAATCCCATTGAAATGGCAGCAAAGAAGTACAACAGGGGAGGGGATCTCCAAGCACATTAAAAATGTCTTGGGGACAGCAGCAAACCCAGGATTTGGACAGATTTTAGGAAGACAGAAAGCAGACTGGATCACACTGATGCAAAATGTGCAGAGGGAGCCATAGGCCAGGATGTGCACAGAAGGCTGAGTGGAGGTGGAGCTCCAGGCACGTGGAGAGGGAGGGAAGTCAGGATGGCTAACGAAGGGCTACTCATGGGGCAGCTGCACCTACCCTTTTCCTATGCCTAAGCAAAAGGAAAATGAAGCCCAGCTAGGAAGAGGAAGTTCCCATGTGGCCTTTGACCTCTTAGAGTAAGACCATCATCATTGTGGCCCAGCTGCCTGCCTGCTCTGCAGGGTATGCTGGGTGAAATCTGTCCATCACCACCTGAGGTCAGCCCAGCCCTTCAGGGAAAGATCCACATACTAAGAAAGAAAGCCCATGGCAATCACATAGATATTTATATAGATAGATCATTATTTAACCAATCTGGTTTTTTATTCACAAACTAAAGGCCCAGTGCACGAAATTCATGCACTGGGATGGGGGTATCTCTCAGGCCAGCCTACACCCTTTCACAGTCCAGGAACCCTCAGGGGATGTCTGCCTGCCAGGGATCGGGCCTAAGCCGGCAGGCAGACATCCCTCTCCCAGTCCAGGACGCCTTGCTCCTTACCGTGAGCCTGGCTTCTGGCTGAGTGGTTCTCCCACTGTGGGAGCTCACTGATCACAAGGGGGCAGCTCCTGCATTGAGCATCTGCCCCTTGGTGGTCAGTGTGCATCATAGCAACCAGCGTTCTGGTCATTCCGTTGTAACAACTGCTTAAGTTTTTATTATATAGATAAAAACTGACAACCAAAGGATCGCCAGACTTGTGAAAAGACCTAACAGCACAAGAGAGAGAGAGAGAGAGAGAGAGAGAGAGAGAGAGAAGAGAATAAAGAGAGCTGACTACAGGGAAAAAAATATGATTTATGGAACTAAAGAGAATTTGTGACAGTCTATAGAAATAGTAAGGAATTATTACAGAAATAGTAAAAGAGATACTGCATTCCTAAGACAAGAATAGCACTTTATTTAAAAATTAAGGAGAGAATCCTTAATTAAGAGAAGTAGAAGCAATTGGTAATCGATGGAATTAAAAACAAAAGCTTTTTGGAAAAAGCCTGGAAGACAAAGTCAAAGAAATCTCCCAGAATCACCAGGAAGTCAGCCCTACCATCAACTTGGCTGAAACAAGATGGCTTAGCATTTGACTTCTTGTTATAAGAAAGCCAAACAAAAACAAAGCCCTGTTTTTGTAGCTTAAAATAAACCTATATGATATAAGAATTAAAAATGAAGAATTCCCTGTGTCCCAGTGTCCTTTATTTTTAAGTCACAACATATGTTGTTGTGCTTTTGTGGTGTGTGTGTATGTGTGTGTTTATGAAGAGACTGGACTAGGGACTCAATAAATAAATATCACCAGACTGAATGAATGTCTCTCTCAGATCCTACATTCTATGAGGGGTGGGATGCAGATCCAATCTTTCTGCAGAGTGTTAAAAGTTGTAAAACACAATTATTTTTGGCACTTAATCATTCACAGTAAAAGATGAAGTCATTTGTTCATTCATCTATCCAACAACTGCATAGAGAGCACCTACTCAGTGCAGGTGTCAGGGCCATGGCAGTGAGCTCTCACAGTCAGTGCCTGCATGGAGCTCAGGAAGGCTTCATCAGACAAACTGCTCTGTAGATCACTGCCTGCAGACAGTAGCAGCAGGACTCCTGAGGACAGTGCAGAGGACCTGTGAGCACGCCTCGGCGCCAGCATACCTCTAATGGGGGTGTCGGCTCTCGGGGGGTCCTTCCTCCAGGATGGGTTCCCTGAACCAGTCCACAGCCAGCTGGATTCCCCGGCAAGAGAAGACTTCTTTATTTCCATGGCTACAATGGGAAAACAAAGAATCTGTAGAGACACAGAAAGGGTTTCTAAAGAGTGATTTCCCGCAGTCTCATAATCAGAGGGAATCAGACAAATCTACATTTTAAAAAATATAGTTTATTCTTTGCACAAGATATAACTCTTCACTGGAAACACGTAGCTTCTGATAGTTTGTGGAAGGTCTCAGGCTCCAAGACGTGTGCATTCCCAGGATTAATAGACCAGATTCTCCTGTAAACTGAAGCTAATAAAGATCAACATAACCTTGATGGGAGTAGTCATCTGCAGAATACTCTCACCCTAAGAGTGGGCTGTAACTATGTTATTAGGCTTCCCAGGTCTAAGCAAGGAGGCCAATGTTCCCCATAAATTCCACCAAAGTCAAAGACATCAATGGTGGCAGGAAAAACAGGGTGGTGTGAGAAGAGGCTCAAGAACAGGCCGAACCTTGCAAGCTTTATTGAGGATTTTTCTTGCTCCTAAGAGGAATGAGAAGTCATAAAAGGGTTTAAGACTTGGGGTATATGTGATGTGATATGATGTGATCTGATGTATGTGGAAGTTCAATCTGGCAGCACAGAGGACATTAAATTGGAAGGGAGCAAGAGTGGGTGTTGGGTACCAGTTAAGAAGCTATTGTAGTCATCAAGGCAAAATGGATGGTGATTTTGACCGAGCAGATATTGATGCATAAAGAAGAGTAGGTGAACTTGAGAGCTATTTAAAAGGTAAAATCTCCAAAACATGGTGATCAGATAGAGGATGATAGAGAGAAGAAAGCATTGAGGACGCTTCGGATCTCCGGCTTGTATGACTGGCTTTTTGCTGAGACAGGGAACTCTGGAGGAATACAGAGCTTAGAGGGAAAGATCACGAGTTTAGTTGTGGACACATACTAAGTTGGAGGAGCCTTTGTGACCTCACAGTGAAATGTTAAGTAAGTAGCTAGGGTTCGGAAGAGAGGTCTGGGGGGTGAAATGTGCGGATCATCTGTATTTAAGCAGCAGAGGAGTCACCGCATGGAGAGAATTGCCTGATTGCCTGAGAAGAAGGAGAGGCCTAGAGCTGGAGCTGGAGGAAGTCTGGAACTCAACAGCTGGTTACAGGCAGAGGACAGTCCTACAGAAGATAGAAAGGATGTGAACCAGAAGACAGCTGCATGGTGGAGGTCACGGAAAGGAGGCAGCCAAATGCTGCTGCGAGGGACCAATGAGGCCGAAAACAACCCTCAGGCTTAGTCAATGGAGGTCAGCGGTGTTTTGCTGGAGAGGAGATACATGGACAGATTTGAGATCCTGGGAATGCAAACCAATTAGACTCAGTTGTGATGGGACACGCCTGGCATTGAGGTGAGATCACGGTGCTCCCTGCTTCCGGCTCAGCCATCTGCACCTCCTTCAGCCATTGTCCTGCCCGTGCACCTTCCTCCCCTCCCACCACAGAGCCGCTCACCAGGCATTCCTCTCCTCTCAGCCAGTCCCCTCCTCCCTCAAGTCTCAGCTTTATCTCTGCTTCCTCAGGAGAGCATCCCCTGGCCTCTGAACTCTGCCAGATCCTGAGTATGAGGCCTCACAGCAGCAGACATCTCCTTCCTGGCCTTGGGTTCCAGCCTAAGTCTGCATACACCCTTCCATTGGTAAGATGAGGGATGAACCGGGTCTTCCCTTCTCTAAATCTTCTGATCCCCATTGAGTTCCCAGGCCTAGCAGAGTGCCTGATAATTGGTAAGGACTTAATAAAACATGTTGAATAAGTAAATGACTGGGAAGAACGATCTTTTGAGGAGCTGGAGGAGGAGCAACCAGGCAGAGGGAAGGGTTGGCTGGAAAGACCCGGATACAGGGAAGACGTGGCATGTTTGGGGCCCAAAAAGGGAGAGTGTGACTGGAGCATGTGGAGTGAGCAAAGGGGAGAGTCGTAGAAGGTAGGAGGCAGGGCTAGGTTCCTGGGGAGCCAGGGGTCACCATGACACGCACACCCTCCCCTGAGAGGCCAGGCCTGAGAAGTGCCCCGTGTCCAGACGAGGGTGACATGATGGTGCTTTCTCTGGTCCCAGGCCTCTCCTGCTATCTTCTTGGAGGGGATGAGGGTAGGCTCAGGTTTGTAAAGAGGGAACGGGCGTGCTTGGAAACATGAATCACCAGTATTGGAAGTCGCCCTTTGTGGAAGCTCAGAACTCTCAGTTCCTTTAGCTCCAGTGACAACCAGGAACCAGGATCTGGTGCCCAGATCTGTGGTGTCTTCCAGGTTAGAGAAAATAGCCCTTTGGCCATTGCAGCTGAGCTGTGAGGCTTATGCAAACTGTCCGGAGAAAATACCAGTGAAGCTGTTTGGTTAAAATAATCAATAAGAAGAGGAAGTGGAGAGCTAACCCCTTCCTCCCAGTGGAAGTTGAGAAAAAAAAGGAGATGGAGGGAGAATGAGGAGGGGTCGTTCACAGAGGAGTCTGAGCTGATCCCCAGGCCCCCCCAGGCCCCCAAGCTTGTCTCTGAGGAACAGACAACCCTCATTCAGGTCTATTGCTTTGCAGGACTGACTCCCACACACCCGCTCCCCTCATCAGCCTTGGTCTCTTCTGAGATGTGAAGATGGTCTGCGTTTCCATCCTTGCCACATTTGCTTACCAACCTCAAAATGCCACCATGGCTGCCCTATTTCTGGCCACAGAAAGCTCCGGGCAATCGCAGGATTGATGCCATAGCAGGAGCCAGCTCCTCACATGGGGTTCTGTCTCTAAGAGGAGCCAGCAGAGGCCCCAGTCAAGCAAGGAAGCTCATGGTCACCCTGGGAGCCCACTTCCCACCTACAGAGAACAGCACCCAACCAAAGGCACCCTCCGCTTGTGCTTCGTCGGCCCACTCAACATCAGTGCATGAGTGTTGGCTTCAACGAGGCTCTGTGCTGGGGCTCGAGAGGGGGAGGGAGGCAGGCCTCACCCTGCTTCTTGGAGCTCACTTTTAATATTCGTGGAGAGCCCTGTGTGCCAGGCCACACTGCACGGGGACCGCATCTGATTGTGGCAACGAGCCCGTGAGGAAGTGACCTTCATCCCGTTTTACCCTTGAGGAAACAAGCAGAGTAGTGTGCCCGCTCGCTGATCCGGCGGATCTCAGAGCCTCCTTTGCTGGGCTGCAAACGCTTCCTCCCCATCTCCATTTATTCCATTTATCCCTGGCCCTCCCCGGCCCTGAGATCCAGACCGCAGCTCCTGTGGAGCCCCAGTTACTCGCTGCAAACATCTTGCCCTGGGGAGGGGGCTTGGTGCTTATGACTGGACGCTGTGGGCCAGTTTCTCAGGCACCACGCTGACAGCCAGGCCCTGGGAAGAGGAAAGGGGAGGGGCAGGTTTTGAATAGAGGGAGGGTGGGGAGGGGAAATGAGCTGGTGCCTGAGACAAATTTTGCCTACATGACAGCCATGCATGAGGCAGCCACAGTTAGCATGTAGCCAGGAACAGGGACAGGACAATCTAACTGGGACAGCAAAGTCTCTGCAGAAGGGAGCGGCTCACAGCACAGGCCTTGCGGTGTAACATGGGAAGGGCACCACTGTTGGACTGTCCGGTATTTGGGGTTAAGTTGTAAACACTCTGAACCTGGAGTTACAACCCTTCTCACCCAGGGATCACTCCGGCTCAGGTCTGAAGGAGGAGGGAGAGGCAGGGGGCTGCTTGGAGCACCCCCATCTTACCAATGGGAGGATGCACGCAGACTTAGGTCGGAACCGCAGGCCAGGGTTGGTCAGAGGGAATTGCCCCCCGGCCGTGGGAACCCACTGACAGGGGCCTGACCTAGACCTGAGCCCTGTCGCTGAAGATGCCTTCCTCCAGAAGAAGCCAGATTCTGCTGAGGTATCTAACAGCTCAAAAACATCAACAGCAGCACCTCAAACCAAAGCCCGTACCCCCAAATGAGGGCACAGTCAAATGAAACCCTTGCCTGGGGCAGTAAGAGGATGTGAAATTATCAGGTGGATTTCCCCCAAGCTCAAGTCCTTCAAATCACGCCTCTGCTAAATTTGCCTACAGAGCGAGCTTGCCGCCTGTGGCAGTTGTCACGTGAGTTCCTCCCAATCACCACGGGCAGCTTTCCATCTGCTTTCAATGAAAGCGGCCTTCTTTTTAAAACCTGCCGGGCATTTTTCTCAAGGCCAGGTATATAGTGACTCAGGCATTCAACTCACATCTCTCTCTCTCTCTCTCTCTCTCTCACACACACACACACACACACACACACACACACACATGCACATATACACCCCATGGAGATGTGGGGATTGGACTTGTCAGTCTGAAACAGAGCCACCAAGCCATGCACCTCGGCGCCCTGAGGCCCTCTGAAGGTTGGCAGCAGCAGCAGAAGCGTCCCGGGCACCAGTCCTGCAGGAGGCCCCTGGGCCCCTGGACCCCTGGGCCCCTGGGGAGGTGCTTAGAACATCCTGTCTGCAGTGGACAAGTCCAAGTCCGGGCTCACCTGGGCAGGCCCTGGCCCAGGATAAAAACCTTGGGGTCAGGGTCTCCCACCCTGAGACCCTTCCCAAGACTGGACATGGGGAAAGGCAGAGGTACCTGGTGCTGGAGGAAACATAGAGCTTTGGCAAGAGCATGGAATCCAGAGCCCAGAACGTGGTGCTCTGTGACCTTGGGCAAGTTACTTACTTTCTCTGAACCTCTGCCAAAGAAGAAAACTTCCTTTATTTATAAAAAAGCATTCATTTCTTTCAAGCCATGGATAAGAGAATCACCCTGAATCTTAGAATGTTAGCGATGAAAAACCAGTTATGATTATCATTTATTCTAACCTCTTAATTGTATAAAAAGGACTCAAAAGAGGTGATTCCCACCAAGGTCACGTAGCTGGGAAGATGAAAGGCTGGAGCTGCACAGTAGGCACTCACCACATGAGGCTATTTGCACTTCAATTCAAACTAATGCAAAAAATTAAAATTCAGCTACTTGGTCACAGCAGCTACATTTCAGGTGTCAGGTAACCACAAACGACAAGTGGTGACCCAATGGACAGCATAGGTACAGAGTTTTCCAACATCACAGGGACCTCCTGGTTTTCTACATGAAATACAAAACGATGGGGCAAGCATGAGGTCCGGCTTCTCAGGTTCCGCCTTATGCACTCCTGACATTGCAACTTAGAACTCTCATTGAAGTTGACCTATCACTTACGAAATGCGAATGAGGCCAATAGTCCTGCTTGTAAGAGCCAATGGACTCCCTTTGCTGTTGCAATGAGGAGACAAAAGGTGGTGTGGATCTATTTAAATGACTTGAGGACAGTCTGTTTTGTAAAACAGGCCAGGCTCTCATGTGCTTTGAGCAAATACATTCCCACTTTTTTAAAAAGCACTTGGGGCCAGCCAGCATGGCTCAGTGGTTGAGCATTGACCTATGGACTAGGAGGTCATGGTTTGATTCCTAGT